AGGTATGGTGGTTCAAACCAGCGTGGGAGCATTGGAAGATATAGGTAGTAATCAGATTTCATATATATTTTTAAAGTCTAATGAACAGGATTTCTTGGTGGTTCCAGTGTGAGTGAGATGTGAGAGAAAATGGAAGAATCAGTGATAACTGTAGGTTTTTTTGTGTTGAGCACTAGAAGGTTAGTTTAGCTGTCATCCAGATGGAATAAATTACCATAACAGATTTTAGTGAAGTCAGCATTTATATTTTAGGGATGTTAGGTTTAAGATGCCTATTAAATATCCAAGTAGGAATTGTTGAGTATGCAAATGAAGGTCAGGAGAGATGTTTGGGTTGGAACTGTAAATGAGGAAGTATAAGCATATTGATAGTATTTAAAACACGATACTGGATAGGTTTAGTTTAAAGAGCGATTGTAGTTAGAAAAGAAGCCAGAGGAATGAGCTCTGGGACACTCATGCATTGACAGTGCACTGAGTTGAGGATGAGACTAAGAAGTAAACAGTGAAATACGAGGAGAACCAAGAGAGTAATGTCCTGGAAGCCACGTGAAAGGGGCTTTTCAAGAAAGAAGAGGTGATAAACTGGGTCCTTGCTGCTGATAATAGAACTAGTACTTGAATTGACTATTGTGAGTAGCCACAAGCTCTTTGATGAACTTTGCAAGCAATCTAGAAAAGTGGTAGTCTCCAGAACTTGATTGAGAAAGTTTAACAGAGGAAGTGGAAACAGTGATTTTAGATCATTCTTTTGAAGAATTTTGCTGTAAAAGGAAGCAACCATGGGAGTGATAGCTGGAGAGTAATGTGGAGTTGATGGAGTGTTACTTCTTTAGATAGGAGCTATTTTATCATATTTATATTAGTAATGGGAATGATCACTTGATTGTAGGAGAAAACATAATTACTGGAGTAATCTTCTTGAGTGAGAGATAATGTAATATAGTATGTGTAAATGTGGAGGGTTGGCCTGCAAAGCACAGGTATTCTTCCAAGTCAGAGGAGGGATGGTAGCGTATGTGTGCAGAGGCTGGGTGATGAGTGGATTTGGTGGAAACGTGAGTAAGTCATGTCTTCTGGCAGAAGCCTAGAAGGTCCCTGAGAGCTGAAAGTGTGATCATATTAGAAGTATGAGAAGAGAAGGTGGGAAATACTTGTCTAAAAGATTAGGAGAATAATTGGATTCAGGGTATATAGTAGGAATGCTGAGTATCACTAGGGAAGACCACAGTTTATTTCTCATGAATTTAAAGTGAAATCAGGTAGCATAATTTTGTGGGTTATTTCCACCCGTGTTTTGCTGTACAGATTTTGGCATGGTGTGAACAGGGATTTGGATTTAACCAAGGTCAGAACATGTATATTATCATGATGGAAGGAGAGCAAGGTCTGGGTGATAAGGATGTTGGTAAGAGTGTGAATATAGTGATGAGCCACCAAACCTAGGATGGATCGGTAAGGAACTAAGAAGGGAGATTCTGAGAGGGGTCGGTAAGGAACTAAGAAGGGAGATTCTGAGAGGGGCAAGAGACAAAGGAAGGAGGTAGAGTTAGAACGATTGTGAGTTCTGATTGTTGTTAAGTGCCATTGTGTCAATTCTGACTCATAGCAACTCTGTATGGATTTCCACAGAGTGGCTGGTAGATTTGAACCACAGACCTTGTGGTTGGTTAGCAGTCCTATGCTTAACGTACAGTGCCACACCAAGACTCCATAGGTTCTGATAGGGAGTAATAATTATTGGTCCCCAGTTCCTAAAAGGAGTAAATGAAAATGTAGTTATTCATCAGAGATTGGGTGACTGAAAGTGGGATTAGAGCAGAGGGGTAGTAATGAGTAAAGACAAAGTCTAGGTTATTACCATGAGATTTCTATTTCTCAGTGAATAACACCCCCTCCCCCCAATGCCAAAACCTCTCTGAGGTTCACTTTTCTCCTCTATAAAATGAAAATAATGCCAACCTTGAAAAGCTGTAGAGATGATTAAATGATAAGTATAAACACACAGCATAATGCATAACATGTGAATAGGTCTGTAAAAGAATTTCCTTCCTTTCTTTTATAATTTTATGTCTCATATCCTGCCCTGAGAAGAATAGCAAAATGCCATACTTGTATATGCTTGATGCTTTTCCTTGTACTCAAAATTGTTTCATGTGAAACCTGGTGAAATAAAATTCTAGAAAAAACTCACTGTACAAACCCACATTATTGTTTCCCGGTCGTAATGAAAACACCACTCCCACTGGAACTGCTGCTGTTACACTTACAGAAAGTATTGTTAGCCGAGTTTGCCCAACTCATGGCAACCCATACACAACAGAACAAATGCTTGCCCAGTCCTGTACCATCCTAATGATGTACCATCCAATCTGTTCCAGAGTGGACCATTGCAACCCAGAGGGCTTTTACTGGCTGATTTTCAAAAGTATGTTGCCAGTCCTTTCTTCCTAGACTCTCGTAGTCTGGAAGTTCAACCAAAAAATGTTCAGCCTCAAAGCAACAAGCCTCCACTCATGGATGGTGCCTGTGCATGAGGCTCCTTAGTAATTTTGCTGCCCTCTAATGAAATATTCCTAAAAAAAGTCTATTACTATTAATGTTTGTTCATTTCAAAGAATCTTTGTTTTAAGAGTTTTTATATAATTTCGTTTAATTATTAAAAGAACCTGTGGTATTTTCATTATTTCCCCATTTGTCAGTTGAGGAAACAACTCAGTCTATGGTGAGGTATGCCACATATGATTGCATTGGTGTAGCAAGAATTTGAACCCAGGTCTTGTAACTGGTACCTGAACTTTGTGGTTTTATTGGTACCTCATTGCTAAGAATATGTTTGCCTGCTATAAATATGCTAACCTTTAAAGGTTACTTTTCAATTTGTTTATAATGGAAGGATTTTTCTTGTTACTGTACATTCACAATTTATCCATCCATCCATCCATTCATTCATTTGTTCATTTAATTCATTGTTATTGAAACTTACTAAATGTTAGGCCATGTCCTAGGCCCTAGGAACAATAGAAAGCAAGACACACTCCTACCTTCAAGGAATAGTGAGGACAGGTATTAACTGAACAATTATATAAGAAAAATTATAGTAAAAAACTCTGATAAATCCTAGAAGGAAAAGTGCAGGAGCCATTTAAGCCAATAGCAGAGACAGACTTGATTGTGTCTGTGGTTGATTTGGTGGTGATCATGAAAGACATCCCTACGGAAGTTACATTTAAACTGAGATTTGAAGAGTGAGCAGCAATTAACTAAGTAAGGGACAAAGGGTAAAAGTGTACTACAATAAGGGAAGAGCATGAATGAAGGGATGGGCCTTCCCTTTCTCCCTACCTCCCTCCTCTTACTAACTGCCTTCCTATCACAGCTGATGATGGTTCTTTCTCTTCATAATTTTTAAGAAATATTTTAAGTTATGAATAGTTACAAAGCATAGTATTATATCTTCCTGAATTATCCTAGAAAACTTAATTATTTGGACTGCTTAAAAAGGTTTGTGATGAGTTTACATGCTAAGATGAAGATCACTGAGGACATTAACTTTCTGTTCTTAAGTCCCTAAGAGCTTTAGCACTGACAGTTTTTGCTGGCACAACATGTTGAATCTCTTTTCCAAAGAGATGATGATATACCTCTGCTGAAATGAACAAATATTTCCACATAAAAAGATTCATTCAATATATTGCATGAGCTTATATGTAAGACTTCTTGGTTGAAAATAAAGTTTATCATTCTTTTTAGTTCTGACTAGAATGTGAACCCAGGCAACTTTTCTTTTTCTTGCTTTTTACAGTCATCTGTTGACCCAAGCTCACACTTTGGTAGCATTTGGTTCCATACATTGCTTAGTGGAAAATTCACATGACACCAAAAAGGAGCTCCCAGGACCAACTCCACGGCACATAACCACCACCACCAGGAGATAAATATTATAATCTATAAAAATTTCAGTGGATGTACCTCATTTTTTGGAGTCCTGGTGTGGTGTTATGGGATAAAGCACTAGACCAACCACAAGGTCGGTGGTTCAAACTCATCAGCCACTCCCTGGAAAACCGTGTACAGTGTCGCTATGAGTCAAAACTGACTGGACGGCACTTAACAAAGTATCCCCCACTGTTATGATATATAATGAAATATGTTTACTAGGCACATAATAGAACTGGGTAAGGCAATTTAGCAAAGTAAAGAGAGGTTTGAAAAGGAAGTTGGCCAGAAAAAGCAAAGGATGAATAAGTCTCTTACTTTACCCAGAGGTTGCTGAGCATATTTATCAAACAAAGGTGATGGGGTTTGATTAGAATGATTCTAAACCTCTTTGTGATACTGACTAGGCATTATTACAACAGAGAGACATAAAGAGTAACAATACCATAGATTGCTTTGGCTAAACAAAATAGACCTCTCAAACACATGAGTGGTTAGTGGTTTGATATATATATATATATATTTTTTTTTTTTTTTTCCCAGCCACTTGAAAGAGAATGAATATATTTTAGAATACTAGCCTTGGACTATATCTCAGTATTGCTATATTTTTGTGCTATCTACAATGATTGCCTAATCTCTGTGAGCCTTAGTTACCTCATCTATAAAATCAGGATAACACTTCATCAAATAGTGATACTCGATATTCGTAATAATGACCCTGGGACAATGCAAGGCCTAGAAAGTCTGAACAATCAGAGAAAAAATTTTTACAGGGTTAGCTTTATCTAGAATTGTAATGATTGTATCACTTTACTACATTAATAAGAATATCTAGTGAAGCAAACACCCCGTTAACCAAGCCGTAGAGGAGTAGAGTATATGTGCTGTGTTTATACTTGTGTATGCTAAATAGTATTACCTACCAACCAAGGTAAATAATTGACAGTTATAAGGAAGCCATTCATCATGATTGCCCATGCTAGCCAGTGAGCAAAAGCTTAGCCAACTTTTCTTCCTTTTCCCTTGCCTAACACTTTTCTGTCCCTCTTTGAATTTAGGAGCATGTATCCTGTTTGGAAATCTTTTCTCGAGGGAACAATGCAGGTAGCCCAGTCACGGATCAATATATGTGAAAACTATAAAAACTTCATTTCTGACCCAGCAAGGACAGTGAGAAGCTTAAAAGAACAGCAACTAAAGAGGGTATTGTTTCAATTTCTGTCCTTTTCTTCTATGCATTTTAATATATACATGCTACATTTATAATCTGCAAGATCATGTAAAATTTTATTTTAAACTTTGAGCTTTCCAATAATAGAGTGTTTCTGGTTGACATTTTACTAGGACTTCAACATGTTCCCTCTAGCTACTATATCTTATTAAATGTTAGAGTGAGTATAATTTGAATCTCTGGACATTCTGAATGCTTGCTAAATACTTTTTAGAAATACCACTTTTCAGCTTTATTCAAATAAACGGATCTCCTTAGTTTTACAATGTGGTATTGTTGTTGTTAGGTGCCATCTAGTCAGTCCGCTATCCACAGTAGAAAGAAACCCTGAAGAAACATTTACATTAATATGTCTTAGTTTCAACTTGACTTTTTGGGGTTTTATTTTTACATAATAATTAAAGGAAATTGCTACGTTTTGACCAAATGTAGTCCCTTAATAAAAGACATTAGTGTACTCTGAAATTTAATTATGTAGGTTGCAGATGGTAAAAGTTTTCAAATAACATGCATTTTCTTTGATTATGCAGGAAACCAAAATTCATAGAAAAATTTTACTTAATTTAATGAAAAAGTTTGCTCTTGAAAGTAAATGATTGACTTGTAATTTTGTGGGGGGGGGGGCAGTAGGGTTACAAAATAGAGATGCTGTACTGCTTACTTGGTAATGAAATTTTCTCATAAAGTATTATTTTAGGTAATTTTAAAGTAATTGTTGTTAAGGAAATAATATTTCAGACATCATGTTTTGATTTTAATTGTCATTTCTGTTTTCAGGACTGGTTTTTATAAAGCAAAAACTAAAAATGTTACTGTTTTCCCTGTTTGCCAAAGATGATTTCAGTTGTATGAAATCAATACATATGTCCAAATGTTTATGTGTATAGGTAAAGTTATAGTGAAGCACTCCCCTACTATCAGTTGGTTTTAACACATTTGGATAAGGATGCATTATGTTTTATCTTTGCCAAAAATTGTCTCTTACAAAACAAAGTGAGTAAACTATGTGACTACTGATGATTTCCTGAGTGATAATATCAAAGTTTGTTATTATTTTATATGACTCCGTAGCCTTAATGTAAATGTAAATTTGTACGCTCATTTCTATGTCTGTTCATGTACTTTTAACCTTTGGGAAAGAGCTGGGCTTAGTCCATACTTAAGGTTTTTCTTAATATCAGTGCTACTATGCATCTTTTTTTGAAGCATATAACTTTGCCTATTCTAGAAAAAATGAATTCTTACTGCAAAACTTCATTTTAAATTTGGGGGAAAAGCTGAGGTCATCTTTTCCTTTGTAAATTCAGTTTGATGGCTTCCATTTAATAAATATTTTTTGGTATTTTACTATGTGTAGAGCACACTCCTTTGACTTCAAACAGTTCACTTTGGTGATGGAAAATAATTGATTATGAATTTACTGAATTCTGGAGTCCTGATGTGATGCTGTGGGTTAATGCACTGGACTGCAAAGTCAGTTTGAACTGCAAGGTCTGTGGTTCAAGCTCACCAGCTGCTCATTGGAAACCCTATATAGGGTCGCTGTGGATCAAAACTAACTCAACAGCACTGAACAACAAGGCACTAGACTGCTAACTGCCAGCTCGGTGGTTCAAACCCACCAGTTACTCCTTGGAAACCCTATGTAAAGTCCCTGTGAGTCGGAACTGACTCAACAGCACTTAACAACAACAGGGAAAAAAGGATCCAGGAGATCTTTTCATTGTACACACAGGAAATTTCTAACATAATTTGATAAACAGTATCTTGAAAACTTGTCAAGGGGAAAAAGTCAGAGTTTTTTAGTGAGATTTTTGTGAAGTCCTTTTAAATATTTGAGTTAACACATAATGCTTATATTAATGTACATGTAGAAAGTAATTTGGTTAATAGTCTATAGATGAAAATGAATTAAATTATTTTCATAAGCTGTGTATTCACCCTTAAATAAGGAGATATATATATATCTCATTCTTCAGTGGATGGGATATAAGGAATGGATGGCTACATTTAAGCATGTCTGCATACATGTGTGCCCATGCATAGATAACCCATAGTATTCACTTGTATGGATATTCTGAGACAATCCAGATGGTTTGCCATCCCAAGGGAAACCCTTGGCTGACAGTGCATACTTTCCTCTCAAAATATTCAAATTAGCAAACCCTGTCAGTGCATATAAATCACCACAGGACTCTTGGGCTTCTCTTCAGGAAAATCATATTGATTACTTTTTCCTGAGGCCACACTCCATTGTTTGGATGAACACGTTGGATATAAATGCCTTACATCTGACTCTTTTAAAAAATTCCATATCTCATATTTCCATTAAACACTTGTATTTTGCAGACCATGTCCCAAGTTGTTTTTCAATATCTAATTGTAGCCATAGTACACTCTCTCAGTTCCTCACAGCTATAAACATATTATTGGGATGTTTAGCACTGCTCTAAATATCCTTGTTTTCATCATATCATTTATTAAACAAAAGCTTTGTATGTGATAAGAATGATTAACTTTTAAGGGGAAAAGAAAGATTTTTTGCTATATAAAATCTTAACTACTATATGAGTATATCCGTACAATTAGAAAGTTCAGTCATAGAAAGGAATGAAATACTAATGTATGTTACAACAAGAATGAACCTTGAAAACATTATGAAGGAAGTCAAACACCTTACACCACATGTTTTATGATTCCATTGATTTGAAATGTCTAGAAGAGAGAAATCTAAATCCATTGAGACAGAAAATAGATTAATAGTTGCCAGGGGTGGGGCAAGGACAAAATGGGGATTGATTGCTAGTGGGTAGGACATTTCTTTTGGAGGCAATGAAAATGTTCTGGAATTCAATAGTAGTGGTGTCTATATAACCTTTAAAGTATATTAAAAAGCACTGGATTATATGCACACTTTGAAAACTAAGTTTTACTGTATGTGACTTACGAGAGAGCTTCAAAAAGTTCATGGAAAACTTGGAATTAAAAGATAATGAAATTTTTCTACCAACTTTTTGAAGCCTCTTCGTATCTACCAATTATTTTTTTTTAAGCTTTTTATTTTACTATAGAAGATCTCTATGGAAGTCCAAAGTCATGGCTTCTCCATCGGTTATTTATAATTCACCTGTAATTTTCCTAATCCTGATGCAATTTACCAATCAGAGTTTAAACACTTTATTTACAGTCTGATACTTGTTGTTGTCAGATGCTATGAAGCTTTTCCCAATTCATAGCAACCCCATGTCCAACAGAGCAGAGCATGGCCTGGTCCTGTGTGTCTTCCTCACAATTGTTATGTTTGAGCCCTTTGTTGCAGCCACTGACCATTTTGTTTAGGGTCTCTCTCTTTTTTTTTTTTTTGCTTTACCAAACATGATGTCCTTCTCCAGGGACTAGTTCCTGGTAGCGTATCCGAAGTACATTTGATACACAGCACCAAAAGTAACGGTAGTTTGTTACTATAAACCATTGGACAAAAAGTTCATGAACAATGGAAGGAAAAGATAATGGAATTTTTATTACTAACTTTTTGGAGCTTCTGCATATGTATCTCAAAATTTTAATATAATAGGCTTTATGAGTGTTGGTTCATAACTACAATTTGTATGTAAGCCACATGTTCATAATCTTGGGATTGCCTATATGTGTCCACAGAGTCAGGCTAGGGGCAATTTTGAGTTATGTTTTACCAATAATTGTTGTGTTGTACCAAGCTTTCCTGTTTCTCTTCATCTTGGGCTTATCAAATCAGATTTTTCATATTTAACTCCTTTTCTAGGGATAAATTCTTCAGTATCCATTGTAACTTTAATTTCCCAAGCATATGGGTAGATTTTATAAATTGATAAAATGAAGAATTGCTTTATTCCTTTGCCTTTATTGCCATGAGCTCTCCAACATAAGAACATTTTTATCATTGCCCTTCTTATGTCATACCTTAATGTTAGTCATCGGCAACATTCAGAAGTAATTTCTCGAAGCAGGATTATGAACAAACTATGACACTTTGATACAGCAGTTGAGATGGGAATACCAGCTGTTCATTGGATTTAATTTGCAGCTTGAAGGAGACTTAAAAGTACTGTTTCTTATCCTGGGTTTCCATTGTGAGGGCATAGTCAGATATTCCTTAGTATAGACATATTTTTTGTAAGCCTGAAAATGAAAATATTAATAATTGCACTTTGTATTTTACAGTGTGTGGACCAGTTGACAAAGATCCAAACTGAATTACAAGAGACAGTAAAAGATTTAGCTAAAGGCAAAAAGAAGTACTTTGAGACTGAACAGATGGCTCATGCTGTACGAGAGAAAGCTGACATTGAGGCCAAGTATGTGTATTAGCATTTTGTTAAAAAAATTTTTTTTTGATTATGCAAATTTATGTTATCTATGCTAATTCTTTGTTCTCTGATGGTACAAGATAATGGATTCATTCCTGGGTTATATTGGTTTTGTTTCATCTACAAATTTTACTTACTTTAGATCACATTTTTTAAATATTAACAGATTTTTATCTAAATTAACAGAGCAAAATGGGAATATTTGATGATTTGACTTCTCACATTAAATTGAACTTTGAAAGGGAAAGAAGACTAATGTGTGTTGTATTTACAGAATTGAAAGTTTTGAAAAAAAGTTGCTTAAGTGTCTGAGTATCGGGGTTTCAGAATCTCATTTTGCTCATGTTAGATTCTAAATCAGTGTACTTGGAAATGACTGTGATCCTCAGTATGTCATTGATCATGGGCACATCAATGGAACAAGAGCACTGTCAATAGTATCGAAAATCTGCCCTAGGTGAAGTCTTTAGCTTATACATAAAAGTCTAGTATGTTCTGGGGCTTCAAAAGGTTTGTGGAAAAATTCCATAATCTTTTCATTCAATCTTTCTGTGAACTTTCTACGAAAGTCCCCTCATATGTAATTTTTATGTATTTGTTAATGAAACTATTTTAGTTTAAACTAATGGAGCAAAGCATGCTATTTATTATCATAAATAAATAATACATTAAGTATTCATATTTGGCATAATTTTTGGGTTGGGATAGAATTATATGATGGCATGATAGTCACTCTCACAGTGTGTCAGCATTCTCATTATTTCCATCCAGTTTACTCTGTTTCCATTGAGCTTCCCTTCCCTACACTTGCATCTTAGTTTTACTTTTGGTTAAATGTTGATTTAACAGTTGGTTAACTGTTTGGTTTCAAACAGTTGATTGTTTAAGGCAGCATAATATACAGATCCCACCCTCTGCCACTGAATTGATTCTGACTCATAGCAACCCTATAGGGTTTCTGAGGCTGTAAATTTTTACAGGACAAGAAAGCCTCATCTTTATCCTGTGGAGATTCTCGTACACCTAAACTGCCAACCTTATGGTTAGCAGTTCAGTGCCCAGCCTACAGAGCCACTAAGGCACCTTACTTTATGTATGGGTGATGATAATATTTTATGAGAGAATCTATTATTTGACTGAAAGGTGACCTTTAGAAATGGGTTAAGTTCCAAGTTCAAAGCATATATCTTATGGCAGTATTAAGGGGTTCTCCTAGTCTTTGTCAGCCCAGTAGATCTGACCTCTTTAAAGAAATTTGTAAGCATGTTTTATCAACTGTATAAATTCCATTTTCAATATATATAAACTACAAGGCCTTTATTTTGAGAATAATTAGGTAAAAAAGGGAACTGACGATTGGTAACAGAGATATTAAGCAAACAATATAAATTTTTAAGTCGACAGCTTGAAGAAAGGTAGATTATGTGAGAAAAACAAAACCACACCATAGAAACGGACTACAGAAGGATCTGTGAGATGGAAACAGATCTGCGTTTACTGGTGCAAATCTAGGAGCCTGAACTCCTGGTCTTGAAATTAGAAAGGTTCAGAACACTTGTACAAATAGACTGGCAAGAGGATGTCTTGCCATATGTAGAAAATTCAAGCAACTTGGTAAACATCTTGTGAAAACTCATGGGTCCCTGAAAGGTTTAATACAAAGTAATGATAAATGAATTATGAGGGGCTTCAAAAAGTTTGTGGGGAAATGGAATTACACTTCTTTACATTGAGGTGTAATCCATACTGAAAACTCTGACACACAGTTTTCCTGATTTTAAACCATGCAATATCCCCTTTTTTTCCCGATGATAGCTTCTTGGTCTGTGTACAGGTTCCACATGTGCACCTTTGAAGGATAGATGGGAGAAAGGAGACCCCAGATAGTTCATTATTTATATCTGTCTTGTTGTTTTGTATTTTAGATTGTCATCTTTGAGAAGTAACTGTCTTATTCTTCTGTCTATCACTGATACCTACTATAGAGTTGCACAAGAAATACCAGAGTGTTCAAAAAAGTTCATGGAAAAGTGGAGCGAAAAGATAATGGAATTTTCCTACCAACTTTTAGAAGCCCTTTTGTATATGAGGATTAACAAATGAAGCAGAAGCCACAAATTTAAAAGCCTAATATTGACAAATCCAGGAACAATCAGCCTGTTTGGAAAGTGACTATAGGAAAGGGAGACTTGAGAATACCCCATAGTCTTCCTTACCTAAATAGTATCTCTCAAATCTTGACATTGGTGAACTTTGCTTTTCTAGACTAAAATGAATAAAGATCTGTTTAATAAAAACAAAAGAAAACCATGAAAAATTAATATGACAAGGTAGAAAATAACAGAGAAATCTTAGGCCCAGTTTTTTAAGCAATTAGGAAGTGGCTGGGATGCATAAGTGTACATCCCCAAATGTTTTCTGTCTGGTTTGAAAGATGAGAGACTGCTTTTGCTATCCTCCTTAAATTTGTTCAGCAGAGTCTGGCTACTCAGTCTTCCAGTCCCAAGTGATTTGCAGCTTTACTTCACATTATGGCATAGCTGCCAGCGCTAAATTCTCCCATGGCAATCACTATGACATTGCAGTCAAGACAAACATTGCAGCTTCAAAAATCACTGATCATAGGAATACTAGTTGTTCCCAAGTATTTTGTGGTTCATTTATTTTCTCCCAAATATTTTGCGGTTCATTTCTCCAAATAATAGATTCTCTTATATTTCTCTATAGATTCTCTTATATTTCTCCATAGTTCTAATTGTCTGAGTTAATTTTTTTTTTTCTTTAAACCTGTCTGTTGGGTTATGGTTTCCCTAATAGAAAGGTACTGAGGGAGATAAGAACACTAGAGTGGGAGAAGATTAAATGGAGAAAAAATCATATAGAACAGAGAATATACAGATTATCTCACTATGTTCAAAATACCTTTAAGAATGTGGGGAGTGGCATGCAGACAGGAGCCCAAGAAAGAAAAAACTTCTAATGAGGGAATAAAGAAATTAGGATTGGTACAACAATTAAGTGCTCAGCTGCAGACCAAAAGGTTTGTGGTTCAAATCTATCTGGTAACTCCATGGGAGAAAGATCTAATGATTTGTTCTTATAAATATTTTTGTTGTTTTTGTGAAGTGCCTTGGAGTTGGTTCCGACTCATACCAACCCTTTATAGGGTTTCTGTAAAGTGGTGGTAAATTTGAACTGATCACCTTGTGGTTAGTAGTCAAGTGCTTATCCTCCAGCACCACACCAGACGGTCAACTCTATGGTGCAGTTCCACTCTGCCCTATAGGGTAGTCATGAGTCCGACTCTACAGCATGAACAAGAGTCTAGCCAATATCCGATTTTAGATGATATCCTTTTGTCACTACAGCCTGTCACACAGTACCCTGAAAGCCTGTTGATATTTGCCTTCATTGGTTGGTGGTCCCTGATCTCTAACTTTCCTTGGCAGGAACTACTAAAGTATGTGAAAGTATGTAATACTGGGAATAACATTTAGATTATTTTGGTTATTAGACTATATTGATTCTTGTTAGGAGATACCAATATATACTGAAGTTTTCTTGTCAAATTACATACTTGTCATTCACAATCCTTTATAATATTAATCCCAGTACTTCCTGTTTTACCATAATAGTAAGTTCACCTATAAAATAAAAATAATCATTGAACTTGTTTTCCATTTTTAAAATTTTCTTTTAGAATATTTTCTTACCAAAAAAGGATCATTTAAAATGTTTTGGTAATTATAATATTTAATTATTTTAATATGATATCACTTGGTAATTTTATTAAACATAGTTTTTATTTCTATTATAGATCTAAACTTAGTCTTTTTCAATCGAGAATCAGTTTACAGAAGGCAAGTGTAAAGGTGAGTTTTTTAAAATGGTATTTATTTTACAATTGGGAATTTCTTAGACTGTAAAATAGGGAATTGGTTCTTTGGCAGATGTAGTAGAATGATTTCTACTTTAAAGAAGAATTTCAACGTCATTAACTCGATGAGCTTTCATTTCTCAATCATGGGGTTTTTGCACAAGTGTCAGCCGTACTCTGTATACTCCTTGCTTCTCAAGACTGCTTGAGGGATAGGTTTCCTTCTGTACCTTACCTGCCCATAGTCTTTAAAGCTTAGTCTAAGAGACTTAGGTCACAGGCTAAGAAAACTGAAATCCATTTCATTCAGTCTTAGGCCCCTAAGCAGATGTTCTTGGCTCAGTGCAAGTGAGTTTTTATGGGATCTTCATGCTGTGGCATTCTAGGTAAATAAGCTTAGTGCCCTGGCTTTAGTTGTCAGATTTCCAACTATTGTGCAGCTCCTCTGGCACATTAGAAGTGTTGGTTTTTAAAAAAACTAGATTTAACCATGTCTTTGAAAGTAAGATACTGACTTAATTTGGGAACCTTTCCTTTCCCATATGGATAAAATAAGCAAAATACTTTAAAGCTCTCTATAAAACTTTGTTGTTGTAGTTGTTAAATGCCATTGAGTCGGTTCTGACTAAGCGACCCTGTATAGGGTTTCTGAGTAGCGGCTTGTGGGTTTGAACCACCGACCTTGCAGTTAGCAGTCCAGTGCCTGTGCTATAAAGCTTTATAACTATGTTAAGTGTAAATTTAAAAATTGAAAATACTTTTACCACATGTAACAGTATTTTTCACAGTTTAATGTGCAGCAGTGTAAAGTAATTTTTATAAGCATGCAAATGTTTTCCCACACAATTACATTTACTCTTGGTAGAAAGCCATTCATTGCTAGCTAAGAATATATCCTTAAATGTTTTGCAATGTAGCATAAATTTTTACTGATTTTTTTCTTTTCATTTACTATGTTTTAGTTAAAAGCCCGACGATCTGAGTGTAATTCCAAAGCTACCCATGCAAGGAATGATTATCTTCTTACATTAGCAGCAGCAAATGCACATCAGAATCGCTACTATCAAACCGATTTAGTTAACATTATGAAGGTAATGCAGCCTTAATATCTGTATTTGTTTTGTTTCATTAAAAAAAAAGTTTATAAGTTGGGTATTGGATATATAGGATTGAGTTCAGAATACCAGCCAGGTCATTATATGTTTCATTGGAATAGAATTGATATACTTTGAGTGACCCCTGTTTCAGGTAATTAACTTTTAGTATAAGAAAATGTTAGGAGCCAAATCACTGTAAAGGATTATGTTATTCCCTAGCAGCAGCAGGTATTTACTGTACAATGGTGACTGAGATTGATAAGAACTCTCAGATACTGTTTCTGAGCTCTCACTTCTGAGACTCAGGTCATTGTTAACAACAAAGTAGGGAAGTTAGGCAGAATCTTCAGATAGCTTCTGAATCAACAGAAACACTGATGTTTTTTTCATTATACTTTTATTTTTGTTTGGTTTTATCCCTTTATCTTAGTTTCTTAGTGCTGTTGTGATAGTGGTGACTTTAAAGTCATAAGTGGGTGACTTTAAAGAATAGACATTTATTTCTACAATTTGTAGTTGTTGTTGTTAGGTGCCATCAAGTTGGTACTGACTCATAGCGACCTTATGCACAGCAGAATGAAACACTGCCTGATCCTGGGCCAACCTCACAACTGTTGGCCACACTTGAGTCCATCAATGCTGCCACTTAGCCAATCCATGTCGTTGGGGGTCTTCCTCTTTTTCTCTGACCCTCCACATTACCAAACATGATATCCTTATCCAGCGACTGGTCCCTCCTAACAATATGTCCAAAGTTTGAGAGACGAAGTTTGGCCATCTTGGCCTCCAAGGAGCACCCTGGCTGCACTTCTTCCAAAACCAGTCTATTGATTCTTTTGGCAGGCCATGGTACTTTCAGTATTCTCCTCCAACACCATAACTCAAAAGCATCATTTCTTCTACACTGTCTTCCTTATTCACTGTCCAGCTTTCACATGTAAATGAGGTTATTGAAAATACCATGGCTTGGGTCAGGTGCACCTTAGTCCTCAAGCTGACATCTTTGCTCTTCAATACTTAAAAAAGGTTTTGTGGAGCAGATTTGCCTAATGCAATACGTCGTCTGATTTCTTGACTGCTGCTTCCATGATTGTTCCGTGACTGCTTCTTCTTGGATAGTTGATCCAAGAAGAATGAAGTCCTTGACAACTTCAGTCTTTTCTCCATTGATAACAATGTTATTTATTGGTCCAGTGGTAAGGATTTTTATTTTCTTTACATTGAGATGTAATCCATACTGAAGGCTGTACTCTTTGATCTTCATCAGTAAATGTTTTAAGTACTCTTCACTTTCAGCAAGCAAGGTTGTATCATCGGCATATCACAGAATGTTAATGAGTCCTTCTCCAATCCTGATGCCACATTTATCTTCATATAACCCAGCTTCTCAGATTATTTGCTCAGCATACAGGTCGAATAAGTATGGTGAAAGAATATAACCTTGTCGCACCCCTTTCTTAATTTTAAACCATTCAGTATTCCCATGTTCTGTTCGAACAACTGCCTCATGGTCCATGTACAGACTCCTCATGAGCACAATTTAAGTGTTCTGGAATACTCATACTTTGTTCCACAGCCTCTTCTGGCTTGAACCTCTGGAAGTTCTCTGTCAATGTATGCTTGCAGCCATTTCTGTATTACCTTTAGCAAAAATTAACTTGCATGGGATGTCAAAGATACTGTCCGATGATTTCCGAATTTCGTTGGGTCACCTCTCTTTGGAATGGGCACAAATATGGATCTCTTCCAATCAATCGGCTAGACTTGTCTTTCAAATTTCTTTGCAGAGATGAGTGCCTCTTGTGCCGCCTCACTTTCTTGAAAGATTTCGATTTTTATTCCACCAATTCCTGGTGCCTTGTTCTTTGCCAGTTCCTTCAATGTACCTTGGACTTCCTCCTTCAGTATCACTGGCTCTGGATCATATGCTACCTCTTGAAATGGTTGAACATTAACCATTTCATTTTGGTACAGTGACTCTGTGTATTCCTTCCATCTTCTTTTGATGCTTTCTGCATCATTCAATAATTTTCCCAGAGAATCCTTCAATATTGAAAGTTGAGGTTTGATTTTTCTCTTCAGTTCCCCCAGCTTGAGAAATGCTGAGCATGTTCTTCCTTTTTGGTTTTCTGATTCCAGATCTTTGCACATTTTGTTGTAATATTTTTCTTTCTCTTCTCGAGCTGATCTTTGAAATTTTCTGTTCACCTCTTGTACCGCCTCATTTCTTCAATTTGCTTTAACACCTCTATGCTGGAAAGCAAGTTTCAGTGTCTCTTCTGACATCCATTTTGACCTTTTCCTTCTTTTTTGTCTTCTTAATGACTTTTTGCTTTCTTGTCTGATGTTCTTGATGTCATCCCAGAACTCTCTGGTCTTCAGTCTGTAGTGTTTAATATATCAAATCTGTTCTTCAGATGACCTCTAAATTCAGATGGGATATATTCAAGGTCATATTTTGGCTCTTGTGAACTTGTTTTCATTTTCTTCAGCTTCAGTTTGAATTTGCATATGAGTAATTGATGGTCTGTCCCACAGTCTGCCTCTGGCCTTGTTTTGACTGATGATATGGAGCTTTTCCATCGTCTCTTTTCTCAGGTGTAGTCAGTTTGATTTCTATATATTCCATCTGGTGAGGTCCGTGTGTATAGTTGTCTCTTATGCTGTCTAAAGAAGGTATTTGAAATGAACAAATCATTGATATTGCAGAATTCTGTCATGTGTTCTCTACCATCATTTCTATCACCAAGGCCATATTTTCCAACTACTGATCCTTCCTCTTTGCTCCCAACCTTTGCAATCCAATTACCAGTAATGATCAAATACATCTTGATTGCATGTTTGATCGATTTCAGATTGAATAAATTGGTAGAATTCTTCCATTTCATCCTCCCTGGCTTTAGTGGTTGGTGCATAAATTTGAATAATAGTGGTATTAACTGGGCTTCCCTGAAGTCAGGAGAATGATTATTATCCTATCACAGACAGCGTTGTACCTCATGACTGATATGGATATGTTCTTTTTGACAATGACTGCAACACCATTCCTCTTCAAATTTGTCATTTCCGGTATAGTAAACCATATGGTCATCAGATTCAAAATGGCCAATACCAGTCCATTTCAGCTCACTAATACCTAAGGTAATCAATGTTTATGCATTCCATTTCATTTTTGACAACTTCCAGTTTTCCCAGATTCATACTTTATACATTCCATGTTCCGATTTTCAGTGGATGTTTATAGCTGTTTCTCTTCATTTTGAATTGTGCCCCATCAGCAAATGAAGGTCCTGTGGGCTTTTCTCCCATTGACTTTACTCCATTCCCGTTATCATGTTCAACTCTACTTTGAGGAGGCAGCTCTTCCCCAGTCTCATTTTGAGTGCCTTCCAACCTGAGGGGCTCATTTTCCGGCACTATATCTCACAGTGTTCCTCTGATATTCATAAGGTTTTCAGTGACTAAATATTCAGAAGTAGTTCATCACCACCTTCTTCCTAGTCTGTCTTCGTCTGGAAGCTCATCTGAAATCTGTCCACCAAGGGTCACCGACCCTGCTGGTATTTAAAATACCAGTAGCATAGCTTTCAGAATCATAGTAACTCACAAGCCACCACAGTATGACAAACTGACAGACGAGTGGTGGTTTCTACAGTTTAGGATGACCAAAGTCCAAATTCAGGATTTTGGCTCTAGGGGAAGGTTTTCTCTTTTCACTCTGGGGAAAAATTCTTGTCTCTTTCAGCTTGTCTTCCCAATCCTTGGTGATTTTTACATGGCGTCAGTCTTTCCCCATTTGTATTTCCTTGTGTCAATACCTAATCTGTGCTCTCAAAAGTGATTGGTATTAACGCACACTATACTGATAGGTTCTCATTACCATAGCAAAGATACCCCTAAATCCCAAATGGGATTGCATCCATTGGTATAGAGGGTAGAAATTACAACACAGACTTTTTTTTCATGTTTTATTGTGAATTATGTCATAGTTTACATGGGAGAACATTAGCTTTACATTTCATCCTTTCGTATATCATTTCATTGCCATGGTTACAGTCCCCTCCATGCATCATCAGCCAACCAAATGGTATAAACTACAAGCCTTTCCCCCAGTCGTCAGCACACAGCCTCTCTCCCTCTCTTGATCTAGATTCCCCAGCTGCTCCATCTCCCCAAGTCATCGTCTCTGCCTCCATTTCTGGAGTCACTACTTCTCTGGGTAGGGTCATGCATTCCACTCTTCTCCCTTGATGGTCCCAGGGACCTCCGCCTCCTGGACTACAAAGTCAACAACCACTTCCCTCCTTTTGCTACAAAATGTCTACTTTTACATTTCCAACACTCACAGTCAGTCCTGATAGTAATTATTCAGTATTTGTGCCACATGAGTGCCATCCCCATCTTGTTTCATCAGGCCCGCCCAGACAGATTGGATACTACTCAGTGGAGATTCTACCTTCCTCCATGCCCTCTGGATCTAGGCTCCTTCTTGAAAGCTTGTAAGCCAGTCACTTCTTGTCTTTGTAGCCCCCCATTTTGGGTAGCCAATGTCCAAGTTGCCCATCGTTGCCTTTGTATTGAGGGGGTGGAATGATTCTCGCTGTACAGATTTTTTTCCCTGTTTTGAGGTACTGCATCCATAGGTGTAGGTCAAGTTCATCAAATTGTATCAGATTACTCTTTTTTTTTCCCTCTTCTTTCTTCTATTTGAGTTCTGATCATCCAGCCATTATAGTCACGTCAAGTGGGTATTATCTGCAAGTGTGGGTGTTCTTGTGCATATGCCTTAACTTCTTACCAGCTGTATACTTCACTCTCCACTCTAGTCCTCTGTGGCTGTGTCACTGACTCTGGACCCAAGAGTCCCCAGGTCTTGCCACACTTCTGGCCAACCAGGTTTCCACACGGGTTCACAGGAGTCAATTAAACATTGTATGGCTTAGCTCTCAGCTTCACTGCTGTTTTTCCCTCACTTCCCCTTATCGGTGACAAAT